AGATGCAATACTGTTAATCCAAACACGTAAACCAATCTATAGCGTAAGCATTATAAGCTGTCTGAAATAGTTATTCAAGTTATTATTAGTGTTAACTATACTTCATATTCCCAAGAAATTAGAAATTATTTATGTATTTAAATAAATACGAGTATGTTATGTTTTTTTTAGTAAAAGAGGACGAAACTGTCAATATGACATTTTTTGATGGATTTTCATAACATATAAGTACATATGTATATAATTGCATTATTTATTAACTATATATTACACATTATGCAATTATAATTAATTATAATAATTAATTGTTAATAACTACTTTATTGAATTATGTGTAATAATTAAATGCACTGATATATTCCTATATAATAATGTGATTATTATTTTATAATAATAAAATTTTTATAAAAAATTTTTATATTTTTTTGGTGTTCAAGTAATTTTAAACACAGCAAAATAAAAAAACAATTTTATAAAAATTGTTTAATTCGCTTTTTAACTTATTTAATTATTTCAACAAAGTTTTGAGAAATTAAGAATTTAAATCACACTTTCACTTCTTTGGGTGCAAATATCATTAAATCCTTTAAAGATTTGGATTTGATATGATCCAAATTATCTTTAAAGCCTAGGTTTATTAAAAAAAATTTTATATTTTCTTTGTAAAATTAAAATGTTTAAATCATATAATTTATTCGTCATTTTGTAATTCATAAAAATTTATTAAAATGTATGTACTTTGAACCACATTACCATGTTCTGGTTTCGCTATTTATTATAATTAATTTTCAATACTTTAAAATTAATAATTTTTTAAATTTCGAATTTTCGAAATTATTTTTAATATTTTTTTCGATTTTATTAACAAATTAATTTAATTTTTTTTTTAATAAACCATTTCCCATTTTGTAAGTTAAAGAATATAGACATGATTTGATTATTATAATTTTTATAAAATCATTTCTATTTCAATATGTGTATTGTCAATATAGATTATTATTTTGTTATCAAACTTCATATAATAATAAATCATTTATATTAAGTTGATTAAAAATTATGTTTCATTACATAAATGCTCCATTTATCATCTCACACCTTACACCCTACACCTCTCATCTAATCAAATCCCAAAAACGTTTAAAAACTAATGTTGAAAATGCATGAAAATCACATTAAAATTAATGGTTCCAAAAATTGATTTCGAACCAAACACCGTATATCGTTTTAAAAATAATTTTTAAATTATAAATTTCTTTCAATATTGCAAATATCTGAGATAAAATAAAATATTGCAAAAAATATGACGTAAGACTTTTGGTGAATTCTAGAATTCTTTAGTCTTCAATCTCAGAATATTCGATTAGAACCACAGAGAGTTTAGCTCAGAATTTATAAAATTTCCATTATATCTTCAACTTAAGACCCACTTTGAAACTGGTTCTGTGATCAATAGTATTGAAGCACAAAATTTTGAAAGGCAGAATAAAAAATTTCCATAAAGAGCGAAGCCGGACCGAACCGATCTGAACCGAACCGTTGTTCAGGAAACCACCGCAACAACTAAGACCGCTTGAGATTTTTTCTGTACGCCGTTGTGCTCGAGACTGATGCGGAAAAATTACGAGTATGTAGAAGTTGTATTTGTAAAATTAAAAATTTTCTTCAGTGAGGGAAATGAGGAAAATTGTGCCTCTTCGGACGCAAAACGGCTGAGATCAGCGCGAAAGGCAAATAAACGCTTTCTGGGGCAAGTGTGATCTTGTGTGTGCTCGTAGGCATGTTCTCGAGTCAAGTTGTGTTTGCAATGAGAAAAGCGGAAAAATTATTTTCTTTTCGATATTCTGCAGAAGAAGAACGATCAGCATTTTTGCACAAGTAGTCGCTGTCAGAAGCACGCAAAAACACCTCAGAGCCTCAACAAAATTTTATGTTTTTGCGTTCTGAGAATTTAGTCAACTCAAGCATTTATTAAGTGTAAAAATTTCAATCGAAAAATGTTATGAGATTTTTTAGAAACCTAAAGAATAGAAGCAAATAATTCACATATAAACCAAAATGAGCACAGATTGTAAAAATTTACTCGAAAACCGATTTTTTGCACCTTCGTTTCTTTCCTTGGCAGTGCACAAATCATAATTTCTCAAAAATATTTTAATTTAAGAAATTTAAAAATGTTTTCTAAATTTTCTAAATTCTACAATTTTTTATTTTTAGATCTTAGATTCGCTGTTTCGAAACGAAGCTGCGACGTACGTCAAACTCATTGCGTGACACTCAAATTCGTTGTCACTTGATGACGTTTACATCGCATGTCGCGCCGAGTTTTCTTCTTATTTTGATTTTTTTTTCATTTCTAAAATAAATTTTTCATTATTTTTCCTTATTATAGATTCCCGATGCTGCAGAAGACTGATTATCGTCAGATTATCGTGCAGTGAGACCCCTACCAAATGGGGGGCTTGAAGGTGTGGGAACAGGTCGCCTGTAGTTTTGGCAGCAGATTTCGAATCGATTTCTTATTTGTTGCCCATGGCACTTGACTTATTTCTAGAAAACAGATAGTTTTCCTTATCTGTTATTTTTATTTTTTTTTATTAATTATAATTGGATTTTGTATGTTGCCACTTTAATCCATTTATTAATTGAGTTTTATTCCGCAAGCGTCACTGAAGAATTCAATTAGAATAAGGATCAAGTCGATATTTTATTGGATTAATATTCCAAATTACTTGTTTCCGGCCTGGGAAGATTATTTTAAAAATAGAATTGTTTTTTTCGGATGTTTTGTTTCTTCGACAATTAATTCAAAGTATTTAAATAAATATTTTCAAATATTTCTAAAAATTTATGTGTTGTATATATGAATTCTAACAAAGCTCATTAAAAATGATTGGTCCAATGAAAATAAGACGTACTAGGTTATTTATAAAAATCAATTTTTGGTTGTAAAAATTACTTTACTTTTCAATATAATCTTACTTAGCTCTAATATAGTTATTTCCTATGTTGGCAAGCCAATAAATAAGAATGACAGATGACATTTCTGGTAATATAAACTGAATTTGGATTGAAAAAGAAATATTGTGGAAAACACAGACATAATAGTGACGACGAGGATATAATCTGGCGATCGATTTAGACCCTATTAAACTACCGCCGTTTCAAATTCAACCTTAAAAGGAGAGGTGTTGACAGCCCTATAAATAAGAATGACAAATGACATTTCTTGTAATGAAAACTGACTTTGAATTGAAATAAAAAGATATTGTGGACATAAACACAAACACAATACCAACGATCCTTTAATTTTTCGTTCAATCCCATCTCGGTAGTTGTTTTCCGGAAAGTCTGTATAATATTCCTCTACTGTTATCTTTCCGATTGATAAAAAACAGTTTCCCAGAAAGAGTTTCTTGAGATATGAGAAGTACCAGAACATAGATGGAGCTTAAGATAGGAAATAGGTTGTTTGTTGCAAGAAATTCTACTCTCTATGTAGTCTTTTATAAATTTTAATGTTTTTACTTGAATTATAATATATAAATAAAATAAATTTTTTTGGTAAATTTTACAACAGAAATTTTCTTCATTGAAAGTATCAATATTAGTGAGTTATATATTGATCATTATTGATTAGAACATAATCTTTTGTCATTTTTCGGGAAGCTTCATAATATCATCGGTGGTTTATTAGAAAAAAACTTGACCAAGTGATTGACAGCGGCGATTCGATTAACCAATTTTTACCATTAAGAGAGTTTTAATGAAACGACTGGTATCAGATAATTTAAAGTCCGGATATAAACTTCCCATCCCTTAATTTGTTCTGAGCCATCAAAAATGTGTGTGGCCTGAAATTGTCATTATGGATGACAAATCTGTTCGTTTTATTTTAATTGAATTGCATTGAAGCGGTCGATTTATGAGCAGAAGAAGACTGAACTAATCATTGCACCACGCTGAAACAGATCGTAATAAATAATTTCTATCCATTTCTCCAAACACTAAACATTATCTTGTTTGTCATCAATCTAGACTT